TCAAATACGATAAATCACTTTATACCCGATCAGAGGTCAGATAAATAGTACATATATCGCCTTTTAGGGATTTGCCTGTGAGTTGTCTTGTCTCGTTAACTTGAATTTGGTACCTTGCTCTGATCATGGTCGTCACGTGACGGACGAAAGTTTAGCAACTTTTCACAGAAATCGAAAGAGATTACCTCGGAAACAGCGTCAGCATGAATGTTCCAATCGACAGCTGGTAAAGAGGAATCCGCCGTCTTCTTCTGGTGGAATCGACTTTCGAATCTCTTCACTAAACATTTTCATTTGAAACTGAATTAAGTGCAACAATAATGAAACAAGAGATTCCTCGAAAACCAACTTTTCTTCGCATAAGAAAGGGCCAGTTGAGTCGCAAGTAGTTTTAACTTAACTTTTTACCGGAATTCATTACATTTAATGCATTCCATATTCGGTTTATTTCGATGGCTTCTCTAATTTTACGTCCAACCGCAACAAAACGAACAGCTTGACAACATTCAACCTCAGGTCCAATTTCTGCTTTGCGTTAAGCTTGCTCTGATTGTCGAAACCAACAGCTTTTGTGCTAAGCCACTCTTTGTCGAATGGGACGACAAGTCTCTCCAACATAAAAGTGACCACATGAACACACTATTTCGTTGCAATTCGATGTGGAGAATGGGTCAACTTTCTGGCCAAAAGTGAAGAGAACTGAAGAAAGTGTTGTAGTTTCCCTGGAAACCGTTTTTATCCTCTACTTCCCGACTAGTCTGCCCATCTTTTTGGAGGGAATGCGCGAAGGCAAGACAAAACCTGGTTAAGGCATTCTCTATTAATCTAATGTTATTTTCAATCAATCCAAATGGATAGCTATTCAGCTCAAATCACGATCACTTCTAGGTTTATTTAGCCCACTCCTGATCTCTTACATGAAGCGAAAAAAGCTCATCACCATAACCAGGCGTGTGTCCGACCTTGGACAATCGGAGTGATGGTTACAATAAATAGAGAGAGGGAGTGATGGTGGTCGTCAAGCGCTGATGGCCAAGATCAGAGGTTACTTTTTCTCTTCCATTTACTTTGAGCAATTACTGCTGCTTTCGTACATATGCGAACACATTCAGACATATGCACATACAGAGACAGACACACTCATGCTGCCAGGTTGACATCTGACGGGAACTAACCATATCACCTGATACCGCATGAAAGAGATCAGCTATAGAGTGTCCATACAGCATTTTAGGGATGAACCGGTGACTTTTCTTGACTCGTTAGTATGAATGGGCTTGCAAAGATGATGTCCAGCATACGACGGACGAAATATTAGCACCTTTTATTACCAGATTCGAAGGAGATTGCCTCGGAAACAAAGTCAACAAGAATGTTCCAGTAAAGCCAATTGAAAGCTGATCATGGAGAAATGCACCGTTGTCTTCTGGTGGGATCCAGCTTCGAATCTCTTCACCGCACACTTACTCTCGAAATGGAAGTGAGCTCAACATTTACGCCACAATTAAGCCCAAAAATGCAGCGCCATTCCAGCTCGGGAGGCCATCTTCGGGTCTCTGATCGGGACTGGCATTCACATCCAACTCGCCAATCGCCCCTTTTTCTACTCGCTTGTCTCCGGCCGCATCAGATACCGCTTCGTTTTCACAACACCATTCTTCCTCGAAATATACTTTTCTTGTCTTAGGTAAAATCACACATATTTCTCTGTATGCTTAACCCACACTTTCTCTCTCACATGAATGCAACAAAGTCCATCAGCATAACCAGACGTGTATCCAACCTTGCGCAATCGTAGTGATGGTTAAACATATGTGTTTGTGTATGTGTGTGTAAACAGAGACAGACACACTTACATGCTCCGAGGTTGATATATAATGGGAGATAACTAAATCACTTTATACATCATAAAAGAGGTCAGATAAAGGGTATGTATACAGCGTTTTGGGTATGAAGCTGTGATTTTCTCATCTCGCTAGCTTGAATTTAGTTGTGACGATGATACCTCGCTATGATCATGGTTGTCATGTGACAAACGAAAGCTTAGCACCTTCTCACCGGAATCGAATGAGATTACCTCGGAAACAGCGTCAGAATGAATGTTGCAGTAAAGCCAATCGACAGTTGGTCAAGGGAAATCTATCGTCGTCTTTTGGTGGAACCGACCTTCGAATCTCTTCAACAGACATTTTCCCTCGAAATAGTCTTTCCTTGTCTTGGTTCAAATCACACTCACTTCTCTGTACGCTTAACCCACACTTTCTTTCTCACATGAATGCAACAAAGTCCATCAGCATAACCATCGTAGTGATGGTTAAACAGATGTGTTTGCGTGTGTGTGTGTTTGTGTATACGCAGAGACAGACACACTTACATGCTCCGAGGTTGATATATGATGGGAGATAACTAAATCACTTTATACATCATAAAAGAGGTCAGATATAGAGTATGCATACAGCGTTTTAGGTATGAACCTGTGATTTTCCTTGTCCCGTTAGCTTGAATTTGGTACCTTGCTCTGATCATGGTCGTCATGTGACGGACGAAAGCTTAGCACCTTTCCATCGGAATCGAAGAAGATCGCCTCGGCAACAGCGTCAGCACGAATGTTCCAATCTACAGCTGGTCAAGAGGAATCAACCGTCGTCTTCTGGTGGAACCGACTGTCGAATCTCTTCACCGCACACTTTCACTCGAAATGGAAGTAAGCTCAACATTTACGCCAGAATTAACCCAAAAAATGGAGCGCCATTCCAACTCGGAAGACCCTCTTCGGGTCTCTGATCGAGACTGGAATTCGCATCCAACTGGCCAATTGCCCCTTTTTCTCTTCGCTTGTCTCCAGGCGCATCAGATACCGCTTCGTTTTCACAACACCTGCCGACATTTGACCTTTCCTCCGTTCTCCTCTGGCCAGACACCGAGGCGCCGGCCGATGCCATCTGCCCTTGCCTGGCATTTGCTCGGCCCTGCGGGAGGACTTGACATTTCCGCGATGCCATCTCGCGTCTGCCGCAACAACAACCCTCCTCAATCCGGTTGCTTCGGTCGAGAGTGCCCCAACTATGCCACTTCTCTAAGCACTGATATTTTATCGCGCGAATCCCAACAACGAAAGTATTTCGAAATGTTTGTTTACTTGTCAGTTTTCGTGTATCTTTCGTCTCGCCTGCCTCAACTTTCTCCTTTTTTGGCCTCTACAACGTCTGACACGCCATTCTCGGACGTGCTCTCCGTCCGGAGGGGGTGTCCTATGACCTTTTAGTCGCGTCTGGAGGTATCAAAAGAGGCAGTCAACATTCGGTCAAAGCTACTGCCGGGATCAACAGAGAAATATCCGAAGAAGAGAGAGTTCATGGAGGAGGCTGCAATTTTTTCCTACAAAAAAGAGCATTGCAGACAGTTCCTGTCTTGAAGAAACTTGCTCGAAAATAGGAAATGTCACTACTAGTCGCCCAGGCATGACAACAGTGTTTGGTTGCCATAACCACAGGCCAACAATCAAATAGTGTTTCTTCAAAATCCCGAGACGGAGGGAAGAGCTGCCGATGGGAGCGAGGGTCAGGAATGTGGAGATGATCATGTCAGTCTGACGCTTGTGTGACAGGTTCTTACGCTAGTGGATGTGTGTATGTGTGTAGGTGTGTAGGTATACAAAAATGTAGCTCCGTGCGGAAAGAGTCGTTTCATTTTTTGGTTTCGTAGGGCAATCTTGACAGGAGGTCAGTTTTATATTCCAAATCGAAGGGAAATGAAAGAAACCAAATTTAATACTCTTCATAGACCTGGACAGATGCAAATGGGTTGTGACAGGGTTGGCTTTTCCCATGGGCAAAGGAAGGTGGACTTTGTCATCCTCAACCAAATCATTTTTGTCCGAGCCGAGAAGTGTTTTTTGGAGGGCAAAATGGCTACTCACTTGACCTCTTGCCACACCAAAGAACTGCTGATTTCACCATCAGACAGTTTCCACTTTTAGCACGAACACAAGCTAGAACATAGACTGTTAGGATCGCCGGTAGAAAGTGAAGAAGACGGCTCCCGAAAAATTGGATGTGAATACTGTTGAGATGCTCGTTTTGCGAAGGAGGACGTTTTAACACGTGTTCATATGATGGCGGCAGTGGGAAGAAAGAAGCTGTGAGGCCAATCGACGGCAGATATTCACAAAAGTTGTCTTCTTCCTCCACCGACTTTAATGAAAATGTGGACCATTTACTAAAGTGCACCAAATGAGTACGTTTCAAAAGCATCACTTGATCTTGATTAAGAAGTTTTTATTAGTGCTATTGTTAAAAGTGCATTTAACGTCTCCAGACTACTCACACAGCTAGTAGTAGTGTCATTGATTGTAACCGCAAAATACGCTAAATGTTAAGTGTCTGGGTTCATGCTATATCGCCTCGTTGACCCACAGCTGACCTCGGTTATATGGCGCAGTGGTCAAAGATGATAAAGCATTTTTACGGGCAAGGTTGCGTGAAATTTATCCATCAGTCTCTACACCACTCCAAGAGACTTGAGGGGAATCCAACTCCCATCTGGTACAATACACACATGCGAAGAAAAGTTGGCTTTCGAGGAATCTCTTGTTTCATAATTGTTGAGCTTACTTCCATTTCGAGTGATTCGAAGATTGCTTCCACCAGAAGACGACGGCCGATTCCTCTTGACCAGCTGTCGATTGGCTTTACTGGAACATTCGTGCTG